GCGGGGCCCAGGCCTGTGCGCCAGCGGGGCGGGCCGGGCATGGGGCGCCGAGTGGAGAGGGCGCAGGAACCTGGACGCTGTGATCCCGGGCACTGTGTTGGGAGCTAGGGGCCCCGGCGCGTGGGGTACCTGTGCGCGCTCCCCAGCCCTGCTCTCTTCACTTTCCACCTGGCCGCGCAGGGGAGACTCCGGAGGCGGGGTCACCGCTCTTTCAGTTTGTAGCCGGCCAGCTACTGCAGCGGCGGCTACTGAGCCGGGCAACACCTGGAGTACCGCGAGGGTTGTAGCTTGTGTGGTCTGTGTCCGGGGAGTGCAATGTCGGGAACTCGGCGCTGTCTGTTCTGGGTGCAGGCCCTGGGAGTGATTCTCGTGGTCCTCGACCCAACTACTCGCAAATCAGACAGTTGGCCTGTGTCTGGCACGCGGTGTTAATAGAGCCCAGGAGCTTCAAGGATGAGCTAGCAAGTACCACAGCCCTTGCGTGTGTGGCTGTTTATATTTAAATTAAGTTCAGCTGTCACTTACACAGCCGTATTTCAGAGTCTACCTGTGTGTTGCAGTCAGGGAATGGACAGCAGACGGGAAATGCTCCCATGGTTAAGGAAAGTTCTCTTAAGCCGGGCTGCCTTAAAAACTGGCCTGGCTGGAGGGCAGACTGTTTTGAAACTGCATTCTGTGCTGCTCAGCCACTTTTCCCAGGGCCTGCTTGTACTAGGCCTGGACTCAGAGACCTTCTCACCTGGCGGGGTCTGCCTGGTGCCCAGCACTGGCTGTGGACAAGGGTGTGAGAACGCAGGTTCTTGGAGTGTCTTTTCTCTCCTGCTGGATCAAGGTGTGCCTGTTCATTCCTAGGTAGTGCTCAAGCTATCTGGACCCAGTCTTTCAACCTGTAACCAACGTGGCCCTTCCTGCCGCTCTGGTGGAAAGACCCCTTCCCAGATGTGGGGTGTGAGCGCTGAGGCATCCCTTCACATTTCCTGTGGCTCCTCAGGTCTCCAAGTGACCTCTTAGCTAGGGAGCACTCCAAACTCCAGGAACCCCAAGGCTCTGTTAATGAGACACAGAGGTCAGTCCTGATCCAAGACAAGAGGGAAGAGAACTGAGGTGGGATCACTCTTGGCTGCCTTTCAGGGATCAGTTACCTGGGGTCCCAACACCCTGCCCAGGTGACAGCCCTGGATTAAACTGTTTTAGCTGGCACTGTCAGTTCGGCTCATCTTCCAGACCCCACCCTGGCTAGTTGGCCTGGGTCTGGAAGTCTTCAGGCCCTTGTCGCCCTTCTTGCCATCAATGGAGCATGGGATCCTGCCACCCTAGTCTCCCCAGTTGGACTGGTGGGGGGCAGGGGTTGGGGACTCATCCCTTCCCTCCTGGAGAGTCCTGGTCACCTCCCCACAACTGGTTCTGCATGTTGGGAGGGTGGAGTGGGGCAACCCGACCAATCCAAAGGAGCTGTTCTATCTCTTCCCTAGCTGGGCAGGGCCGTGCCTCCATACCACATTTATAAGGTGCTAACACAGGAAGTCTTCTGAGACAAAACACTGTGATTATTGAAGTCAGCCCACCAGGACACCTTGCAGGTGCTGGAAGCTCTATGTGACTTGGGAAACCAGTAGGCTGCAGAGGCAAGCCCATAGGTGCCTCCGGCAGTGCCCCTCCCAACCTGAAACCCCACCCCCACCAGGGCGACTGCATGGATTGACCCCTGGCTGCTGGACTCAGCCTTGCACCCTAGTTCCCCTGTGGCTTCATCCTGACTCAAGAGAAACCTGAAATCAGGACTGCCCCTGGTTTCTCCCAGAGGAACTCCAGCCTTTTGGTGATCAGGGTCAGTGAAGCAGCTCTGACAAGCATGCACCCAGGCATTCTAATGCACAGATGTTCTGCCCCCTCTCAACCTGGGTGGGCACCCAGGGGACCAAGTGGGTCCCTGGTCTCACTAGGAGGTGGGTACCAAGATGGGCAAGGCTCCAGCGCTGGCAGGACAGCAAAGGCCTCCAGAAGGAAGCAGTATTCATTCAGAAGGGCCTTATATCCTTGGGACAGGTGCTGGGAGTCTGATAGGAGTAGCAGCTGGATAGCTCTGCAAATGGAACTGTTGGGATAATGTCTGAAGTGACCTATAAATATTCAGCCTTGCCTGAGCCTGTGGCTCTTCTACCCTTGTCACCTAGAGCAGGTCAGGGGGTGTGTCTAGCCCTGATGAAAGGGTGCTGGAGGCCTCACTAAAGGTGTCATGTGCAAGGATCATCCAGGCACACTAGGTAAAACCCCGGGCCAGGTTCCCCTTCCCAGCAAGCACTGCAGCTGAGCCAGCCAAATGGAGACAGGTCAGTAGCAACCACAGGGTTGATGGGAGGGTGGAATGGCTATGAGACCAGGGGACGCAAGCTTGGACACAGGGATGGTCATTGCTGACAAGTAACAATGAGCAGGGTTGGGTGGCACCCTACACAGCCAGAAATCTAGGTCCATGTGTACAGGGGCAAGGAGGGGTGGGTCCCTCAGTACTACCACAATAATTTTCACAAATTATTGTGAAACTGCTTCCTGTCCTTCAGCTTCATTCCGTGGGTGGAAAGCTATAGACAAGTGTCCTCTTTGCAGGAGGTTGACACCATCCAGCTATTTGGACTCCTCAGAGGCAAACCCAGGGCTGCTCTGCAGGGCGGGGACTGATTCTGACCTTCAGGGAGTGGTGCAGCTTTGTGCTGATCATGAGGCAGGAGGAAGATCTCCAGTGCCCAGGCTGTGTGATGCAGGTGTGGAGGCCACTGCGCCCCAAGGGAAGAGCAGAGCCAGGAGGAGCTGAGGCTCTGGACGAGGGTAGAACAGTGAAGGAATGGAGAGGCACACAAACACCAACTACAGCACTTTACTCTTTGCTTTATACATATTAGCCAAAGACTGCAGTATCTGTAATTCATGGAATCACCGAGTGCTGTTCTCCTTCCCCACTATCTTATTTAAGGAGTGTGGACTGTGACTAATTTCCTAGGAGTTTAAAGGCCAAAGAACATCAGATGGCCTATCTGAACTAGGGAGTCCATCCTCCACAAGGAGGCCGCAGAGGGCTGCCTGCTGCTGGGTCAGGAGCCACCTTGACAGGCGGAGGAGGCTTATCCAGCCTCCCTAAGCACTGAGGCTCCAGCAGGTCCAGCCTCCCTAAGCACTGAGGCTCCAGCAAGCCCAGCCTCCCTAAGCACTGAGGCTCCGGCAGGTCCAGCCTCCCTAAGCACTGAGGCTCCAGCAAGCCCAGCCTCCCTAAGCACTGAGGCTGCGGCAGGTCCAGCCTCCCTAAGCACTGAGGCTCCGGCAGGTCCAGCCTCCCTAGCACTGAGGCTCCAGCAGGCCTGAGCAGCGCATGCCCTCAGCTGTGGGTCCCGCGCTCAGCGCTGGGAAAGGGCAGGAAGAGTTCTGGCAGCTGGGACCCGGTCCCCGTCCCCACCTCTGGTTTAGATTTGACCAAAACCTACGAACAAACGAAGCTGACCAAGGGTGAGAGGAAGAGATGGTCTTGGCAGCGGCTTCCCAGTCCCCTGCTTTGAACTGCACTTCAGGAAGACGCGGCTTAGGGGACCAGGGCACGTCCCGCCTCTCGTTAGCAAACGCCCTTCCCGCC